AATACAGAGATAAAGCCAAAGCATTAAAAATGACAATGATTAGAATCATGGAGGATCAACATTTCATCAAGACAAATGCTTCAGCCAAACAAAAAAAAAAGGGGTGGATTTGAGGTTTGCAAAACAGAATTCAAACAGCTAACAATCAGCAGGGGTCTATTCTAACAAATATTTTAAACAATTGCTACATGGTGGCACAGCAGGTTTAGGGAAACAGTAGAAATTGTAAAACTAGCAAACAGCAGGTTTTCATAGCCTGGATTTCTTTTTGTTATGATGGTATAATTAACAGCTCCACTGGGAAAAAAAATCTGATGATAATAGTTTAAAAGCAACTTACATAGTATATAGGCTCATCAGTACATACAAAGAATGATAACAGAATATCAAGGGTTGTAATGGAGATTCCCCCTTGCTGTCTTATGAATAGCAACAATGATGCTAAGTAATATGCTCTGCTCTTCATAGATCAATCTGTTACATTATGAATCTTCACTCTTCCTTTGTACAAAAACTCTATTAGAATACATATTTTCACAAGTTGCTAAAATTAAATGAAAATACTGGATATTATCTAAACAGGTAAGAAATATGTGGGCATTGGACCCACACATATACGTTTTAGAAGCTTTGAGAAGAACTTCATTTGCAAAGACTATTAATAATTAGTAACTAGAAATATCCTACAGCAGACAGATACATTCACTTTCTATATTTTGGGATACTTCGCCATTAAATATTTGTATTTGCTGTCTGTACAGCATCTAATTTCAAAACAGAATAATAAATACAAGCATGAAGAAGAGGTAATAGTGATTATTAATGTCATTGCATATAGAATTCAATTTAAAAATTCTCTCTCTCTACGTAAATGTTCCCCTGAACAAATCTATACAATTGCAAACACAGCTCATACCTATTGTCTCACGTATATACACAGCTCTATCTATGAAACAATTTCTCCAACAGAATGTACAGAAATATTTTTTTATTCTTATTTAAATTTATAAACAGCTGAGAGGCATTTGACTCAATGAAAAGGTCAGGCAGATTTCAAAGTTATCAGTGCACTGATGGCAGTGCAGCCTTAAAGGCCTCAAAATACATCACAAGCGGCTACACACTGAATACAATAAGGATGACAGAACAAAACATTAGAGTAAAGCCCCTAGCCAGACATTAAAATGATTGTGCAATAGGTATCTGAGGAATTTTATGCCCAATCCAAAAATTATGTCATCATGGGCCATCCTGGGCTCCCCATGTGCCAGGCACTAGAAAACTGCTGCATATTTAAACAGGTATGGAGAGCCACAAGTCCTGGAACCAGAATCAAGCAGATTGGGCTGGAAGCAGTCACAGGTGCTGGGTCCAGGACTACGGGTGCCACTAGGGATCAGGTGAGGAGCAGCCCTGGGTCCTGGGTACGCCTCTAGGGACTGGACAGGAAGCAGAGGCAGGACCTGTGCTACCTCTGGGGATTAGGCAGGGATCACCCCTTTTTTGGATTACACTGGAAGTATGCATCTAGAGCATGGGAAACCCTGAAACTTCCTGCTGGTGTGTGTGTCTACAACTTTTTAGAGATTTAATCAGATGGTAACACTGAAGGCAAAGGAAAAATGCTAAAAGTTGTAAAGAAAGTGTTCAAGTTAATTCAAAATTTAATCTCAGTATTATTTTTAAGAATGTACAATAAACTTTTCAGAAAAATATCCTAGTTTGTCTTCCATCCTCACCATGCACAGAAAGGATGATAAAGGTGGGGAAATATTTATGAGTAAGAGATATTACAGCTTTTTCACAAAAATGTTTATCATTATGGACTTAAAAAACAGGACATACAGCTACAGTCTTCTGGCCTGACCTCCTGCATGACAAAAAATAATACATTTTAACTTTAGCCATATATTTGTTTCATTTCAAGTTTGTTTATATGTGTATAATATATATAGTGAATGTTCCAGTAATGAAAAAAGCTTTTTCTTCTTAGCAAAATTGTTTAAACAAATAATTTTGTTACCAACATTAATTCTATTTTTTGTTAGGGATTGCATTTTTCCATGATGTGTTAATATATAGACTTATGCTTTCAAGAGACAAATGTAAGATAATGAGCCTTAGAAGTTAATGTGTCATGAAAGTCTTTTACAGCTAACTTTGTATATCGAATGGGTGGAGAGCTTTTCAATCTGGGATGTTTTTGCTCAGAGATGAAAGTACTCAAAAAAACCAGAGTTTAAAATAGATGGACAGGATTATGCCTTTAAAATAAATCCAGATTAAATATTATGGCATAATCCATAGGTAATAAAATCCTTCCAACAATGCTGTGCTGCATCATTCCTAATAAGTACAAACAAGATTCTCCCTAGCTGCAGAATCCTTCCATACAACTTTTCTGCCTCTGGATCAACCCTGTTGAGCACAAACAAAACATTTAGTACAGGGTTTGGGCCTTCTTTGACTAAAATATATTTAACTGCATTGGGTGAAGCAAGAGACTATAATTTATGTATCTTCTAGAACAGATGTCAGCAATCCCTCAATTTGAAGATACTCTCTACCATGGTTCACTGGTAATTCTTGAGGTGACTTGAGTCCAATCCTCGAGCCACAGATGTGTCCACAGAAGTTTCATGTCTTTCTGCAGGGGAGAGTAGGCTGCATACTGGAAATCCTCTCCTTTTCCTTTCTCTGCTCTCTCTTGCCTGCTTTGAGGGCAAGATGCTTTACCTCAAAATGGGCCGCTGCTTGGTTGAGGTTGAGTCACTACTGAAGTCAGTTGGCAGCCACCTCTTCCCAGATCTTGACCTCAGCATCTGTTTTCTTGAGGTAGGCCTTCAATGTGTCCTTGTGATGGTTCCTCTGGCCACTGTGAGGTCTCAGGTTATAACTAAGCTAGAAGCACTTGTTTTGGGAATTGAGAGTCAAGCATCTGTACACTCTGTCTGGCCAAGTGAAGTTGGTGCTTGAGGACCAGCAACCCAATGCTGGTAATGTTGACTTCAGCCAGGATACTGGTATTTATGTGGCAATCTTCACATTTGATGTGGAGGATTTTCCAGAGGCACTATTGGTGATACTTCTCCAGGCTCTTGACATGATGATGGTAGGTCACCCACATTTCACAACTGTAGAGGAGAGTGTAGATAAGGGGTGGGCAAAATGTAGCCCACGGGTCGGATGTGGCCTGCCAGGCCATTCTAACCGGCCCATGGAGCCCCCAAAAAATTTAGAAAATTAAGAGTTATCTGCCCCTGGCTGCATGTCATGTGGCCCTCAATGGCTTGCCAAAACTCAGTAAGTGGCCCTCCACCCAAAATAATTGCCTGTCCCTGGTGTAGATGATAACTGAATCATCAGAATCTTCAGCAGACCTGGATCTTGGTGTCTTTTCAGAGACTGAGATCAATAAAGACACACAAAACAGAGTTGAGGTGATGTTGCAACCTTGCTTGACCCCAGTCTGGATGACAAATTGATCTGTCTTTGATCTGCTACAAATAACAGTTGCTGTCATATAGTCATGGAGAAGCTTCAAGACCTTGATGTACTTTTCAGGACATCCAAATCTGTCCAGCACTTTCCACAAGGCTTCATGATTGATAAAATCAAAGGTCTTAGTTAAGTCAATGAAGGCCATATACCATGTTCCTGACACTTCTTGGATCTGGTGGGCAACAAAGATCATGCCAATTGTCCATGGGATGGTCTGAAATCACATTGTGATTCTGGCAGGACTTCGTCAGCAATAGGTAGAAAATAATTCAGGAGGATGCAGGCAAGGATTTTCCCTGCTGCAGAAAGGAGGGCAATACCTCAATAGTTTCCACACACATGAGATATCTTTAATCTAGTCATGGTACTGGCATTCCTCAGGTCCCCAGGGATCTCTTTGTTGTTCCAAATTCAAAGAATAAATCTGTGGAGTCTCAGTACCAGTTCCTTGCTGCCAGCTTTGTAGATTTCAGCTGGTATGCCATCCAGTCCAGTAGCCTTGTTGTTCTTGGTTTCCTTGATGGCACACCAGACTTCTTCTAGGATAGTAGAATTGGTGAGGGATCCCCTTTCAGTGTGTTGGGGGATGGATTCAATGGTGATATCTGTCATAGTCGACTCATGGGTCAAGTGCACCTCAAAGTGCTTTTTCCATATAGCTTGGATAGCTTCATTGTCTTGGAGGATATAAAGAATCATAAATTCCAACATCAACCTTTTCTCTGCGATCTCTGAAGTTAAATACCCAAAAAACTGGCGGCTGATTTCAAGAATGCCATCTAATCACTAACAGAAGATAATGAATGATCAGCATATAAGCTAGCTATTAACTGGGATACGCACAGAACGTTTTGCTACAAGAATCGCTATTAAACAGAACAGTCAGAGATGTATATCTAAACCAGGGGTATCAAACATATTGCCTGTGTGTTGGATCTAGCCCACAGAGCCTCTCTATCCAGCCTGCCAGGCATGGAAAGATGGGTGGCATGGCTTACCATAGAATCCAGAATCCTTTGTCCCTGCTGGGCAGGGCCACTGGTAGCAAGCTTTGTTGCTTGCTGAGCCTCTAGTGCTGCCAGATTCATTGCCACCATCACCACCTAACGTTTCACTGCTGATGTGGTGGCCACTCAAACCCTGGCCTGGATCCGGCCTGCAAGGAGCCCTATGGCCTGGATCCTGTCCAGGCCTCAGGTGCATTTGACAAACCTATTCTATTCTAATCCCTGGGATACCAGGGGACCGACCACTCTGGATGTACCCTTATCATGTACTCAATCAGCTGATTGTCAGCCCCAATCTGGGTCATGAACCAAACCTGGGACTGTCTGGGCAGGGGCTGACATTCAGCTGCAGGGTTGTAATACTAATATTTCAACTTGCTGGTACAGCAGGAGCTGAAGATCATAATCCTGGGCTTTCACTGTACTGGCAAGTAGAGAGCAGGCAATTGGGATCTGATCCCTGATCTCAAAATTTTACCTCCTGCACCGTGCACTGGTGGCATGGCAGGATGCACAACTGTTAGGATCATGGCATTACATGAATGTGTTCAGGGCCTCAGTAACAAGGCCTTATACTACCTCTAAGGTACAGCAGGGATAGGGACTTCAAACTAATGATGTCTAATCAGAAAGTCAACCTCTGCTGATGGAGATGATGCCATGGTGGCATTAGTTTCTTGGGAAGTGGTTTGGAATAAATATAAACCTGTCCTATATAGGTATCTGTGTTCTACAGACTATTTTTACTGCTCTTGAAACACAATCTTTCTGATTCTGATATAAAATAATGAAATTTGTATATTTTGTGTATGCTCTTCTTTTCATTTGAACCCAGAAAATGGAAGAGTTGATGCCTGAACTGGAATAAATGGTCTTGGAATCTGACATATAACTTGTTACTGTATGCATCTCAAAATTACATGGAAGTTTTAAAGGCATGGGAGGCTTGTTGTGGAACACAGCTAAGAAAGGAGGGAAGAAATTGGATTCAGACACTTCAAATAAACACCAGAAGCAAAACCAGAGTTGTTTCTAATATAGTAAATCAGTGAATAATTGTGTTGAAGACAAAATTCGAGGGGAGGCACAAAATTCAGGGTTGTTTCTAGCTGGAAGTGTTTTTTTGGAAATTAATATGGTTCAGAGATCAAGTGAACTCTGATTTGACGGAGGTCACAATAGCTGTCATTTACAATGAGTACTAGGTCAGGACTGGGTTTACAATTCACCTTTGAAACTGTATCATATGTCTAGGTACTGTGTATCCATGTTCTACAGGGGTTTCTGGAATTTTTTAAGTGTGCTCCACATTTTAAGTAAATTCTGTTTAGTTTCTAACACAGTGATCAACTGGTAAACATCCACAACTTAATACCATTTTTTTCTGTGATAAATGTAGCTTCATTACACATCTTATTCTCTATGCTGGATTCAGACATAATTTAATCCCTTTTTTAATGAGGACTTAAATTCACAAGACTAGCAACAGGGCACAGAAAACTGGGGATTTAAAGGGCTGGTTGCCTTTCCAGCAGCCTTAATGATGCAGCCCATTCCAAAAAGAATTGAGGAAGAGACTCTGAAGTCCCACTCTTGCAAAACAAGGAGCAAGTCTCACTCAGATAAATGATCTGAGATCATGGCAGTCAGGAACTGGCTAGAATTTGAACAAGTTCCTAATCTAAATTAAAAAATAACCCTATTAAATTTGCACATATAACATTCTTAGGCAAATATTAATGTACTACAGAACCTTGGTGTTGTATACACCACTTGCTGTGTGCTTACAGGGTAGAAGCAGAAATCAGTTGCTAATTACTAACATCTACGAAAGAGCTCTTTACACACAGCATGCGACATGTAGAAGCAGCTAAAGTGTGGCTCATGGGAGGGCAACAACAAAGAAGCACACAAGTGGGAAACAAACGTTCCCCCAGATACTGGTGGTCACCCCGATAAACTTGTAGGTGGCCATCAGATCACCTCTGCACCTTTCCAGGCTAAAGAGCCCCATGGCTCTCAGCCTGTCGTCATAAGGTCTGTTTTCCTGACCTCTGATCATGTGCGTGGCTCTTCGCTGCACTCTCTCAAGCTTCTCCGCATCCTTTTTGAATTGTGGAG